TGTGAGGCATTGGGTCAGACTACCTAAACTTATAGAGCGGTCTGATCCTCTGCCAGGTTCATTTCTCTCTGATCCAGTCTTTGCGACGCAGTAGGCCAGGCTACCTAAACTTATAGAGCGGTCTGTCCCCTGCCAGAATTATTTCTTCAGAACAAAACAGGAGAAGGGCAGAACCACCTAAACTTATAGAGCGGTTCAGACCTCCTTGTTCAGAACCAAAGAAACTGAGAAAACTCCAAGTAAAGCAAGGCAACCCAAGGTACCTAAACTTCTAGAGCGCCTTGGGTCCATGAAAGTTACTCACAGTCAAACCCTCACAAGTCAGAGCAGTCAGGTCACCTAAACTTATAGAGCGTCCTGACTCTCCATGCAATTCACAGCACCGAGTCTCCCCAAACTTATGGGGGCGTCCCAGCCTCCAGAGCATTCAGGCTACCTAAACTTATAGAGCGGCATGATTGCTCCATGCAAAACCAAAATAAACAAAGCGCTGGGCCTCCCCAACTTATGGGGACCTCCCAGCCTCGACAACCCAATCAACCTTCAAGCAAAACAGTCCTCCATCCTGCCTTCCCCAGATGCAGTTCCTTTCAGTAATCTGATTTCACACAATCAACATGGTTAAAACTGAAATTGAATAGACATTCCTTTACTTAGTCTTGTTCAGTGTTCTGAAGGTCAAACCAAAATAAAGGTAGGGTTGCACACCATATACTCACTCAGCGATGCAATATGCGATACAGGTAGGGACTATAACTGGTTTATAGAGGGAGTCAGGGAATTACCGCTCAGTTCCCTGCCTCCAGAGCCTCGCCTAGGCTCCGACAGAGCTCCCGCAATCGGTGGGGCGAACCTCCCACAAAGGTCTTCGCGCGGATTACGGGTCGTAACTTCGTCTGCCGCCTCCCTCTCAAGACCAGAAGGCTAGACTTGGGTCGTAACCTCGTCTGCCGCCTCCCTCTCAAGACCAGAAGGCTAGACTTAGAATAAGAAGGACAGGGAGAGGAGGTTTGGGACTCTCAGATTCAGGGAAGATACACTCAGACTCGCTTGAGAGGGCCTTCAATCCTTCAGCGCCTGAGGGCCCCCCAAATGGTAGCAAAACATTGCGCGGCAATCGACCAATTCAGAGTCAAACAGTTAAGCTTGGATCGCCTGACGGCCTTCCGGATCGCAGCAATAACCTCCCTTCCGCGGCAACAGTTATGCCACCAGGTCCCACCAGCCTGACCTCCGATAACACTACCCGCCGCACAATAGCACATTCCCCCTTTACTCCTTAGCAGAGTGTCTAGCGACACGTAGCACATACCGCAAAACGCAGCCTATTCATTCAACTATGGTCAAACCTCCCACTATTAGCTCCACAGCAAAGCTCCCGCTCGCAGCAGGGACCTCTTCAGCCAAATCATAACGTCACTCCCCCTGATCCACCCGACGCTGTGCAGTCCAGAGATGTTAAGCTCAGCTGAAGTCCGCCCTTGCGTCTTATTGGAACAACAAGGGAAAGCGCAGCAGTGCACAGTGAGCACGGCACAACAAGCTAGCGCTGCTCAAACGATCACAGCAGCAGGACCCAACAACATCCGGCGGGTCAGGTAAGTAACAGCTGCGGGCGGTGGCCCGGCATACGGCGAGTCACTACGAATTGCAGCTCGATGAACCAGCCGCTTCAGCTGACTGCAACTTCAGCAGCAAAGCGTTGCGGAGCACAGTCGTGCCCACAGTATCAACGATAGTAGCAGCAAGACGAGTACCTCTGCAGCACCCAGCCTATCATGGCAGCCTCAGTAGTTCAGTCCCCGGCACCAGTCTGTTTCCTCTTGCTCTCCTGGCTGGTGGGGCAGTATACCGACCAGTCAGCTACACATGTGATCTCGTAGTTTGACTTACTGTCGCCCAAACCGGTGGAATGAGGCTTTTAGCCACTCTCCAGGCCTGCAATCCTTACCACCGGCTTGCTGCAGGCTTGCTCCTTTTCTTCCTTCGAACCGGCCAAACAGGTAAGTCTTCACTTCCACGTTTCTGACCCCGCGCCACTTTTCACTCGGTTGTCTGCAACATCAACGCCCGTGGGCGGTTCCCACTGTCTCAGCGGGATCGCATATAAGCTCAGGTAAGTCCTGCTCCTTCTCCTTCAGTCCGCCCCCACCCTCCTTGTTACGGACAACTCGAGCAAGCGAGACGGATCTCCCGCTTCAACCCGGTTAGACTCGTGCCCTCCCGCCACGCCCGACTTTCATTGATAGGCCGACCCCCGTTTTTGGCCCGCAGGTAAGGCTCCCACTCCGCGGATGGCCCGTCGCCGCTCCCACCGACGACTAAGAAGAAAAACGAACTGAACTTGAATATCCCGCCAAAAGGCCGGCAGGTACATCCCCACTTCAGTCCTCCTCCCCGGCGCAATACTGCGCTCGACACGTTTCTTCCTACCTCTACCATCGCCCACCCCCACTACCTCTGTCGGGACGGTGAGCAAAACCGGAATGAATCTTCCTCTAGAACACGGAAAGATACATTGCCAATTTCAACTCCGCTCCTCCCGCCATAGCCCAGGCGCACCTATTTTTCCACTAACTCCTCGTTCTACTAGCTTAGCATCTAAACTAACACTACCATCATGGTCGCCCGGGTCTGAAACCCCCACCTATACTCTTACCTTGCTCGATTCTATCGTGAATCGAGCACACTATGCCTCCTCCTACCCGCCATCTCCATCTTCATGAAAGCCTCCGCGCACTACTTTTTCCTATTAACTCTCATTTCCTTACTCCATCAGCAAAACTAACACTACTATTTGATTCGCCCCGGGTCAAAACCCCGAGAATGCTTCTTTCCTCTCTCGATTCCGTCAAGGAACGAGAGAGTTATAGTGTTCTGCTCGCGCCCGACTCAACTTCCCACCATCTCCATTTTCTGCGAATGCACCTGGCGCTGTAACCTGTCTAAATGCATTCACCTTTTTCTACCCTTACCCCGTTACGCCCTCGCAGTCTCTTCTTTACTAATCTTTTACTCTATTGATTTTCTACCAATTCTAACCTCACTAGTGAATTCGCCTTGCGCCAGAACCTTTGATTAACACCCTCACTCACTCGATTTCCTGGAGAATCGAGTGAGCTGGCTCCTTTCTCCTCCTGCCTCCACTCGCTCCCGCCATGACTTCACACAACTCGTTTTCGTCCTAACTCTTCATCTACTCCCTGCCTTCAAATTCCGGCCTCACCATTGTACTCGCCTACCTCAAAACCTTAGTCTAGCCCCTTTTCCCACCGACTTCTGATAAGGAATGGCGGATTTCACCTTCCCGCCATACCCACCTTCTCCTCTGCTCCGCCTTACCAACGCTCGAGTGTACCCTGCGCGAACTCGCGCCAGGTTCACCGCCCCCGTCAGTTCTTCCTCCGACCTTAGTACCCGTCGCCCCCGGTCAGTCGGCCCATCGCTACCATCCCCGACCTCTGAACGTACCCCGGCGTGGAGCCCGTCCGGGTTCCTTCCCTCCTCGCTGTTGCACCCCGCTCCGTCGTGCTTTCTTCCCCTTGTTTGATCACCCGCTCCCACTGTCTTGCCCGTTCGTGCCCGGTACTACTCTGCCCTGGTGCCTGCGATATCCCCCAGCCCCCGACCAGCACAACGTCCGTCGTCGGCTTCGCCAGGCTAGCGCGGCAAACCGACTGAAAAGAACAACCTCTCTCCACTTTATACGCGTCCCTCGTGGCGCGCAGGGCCGCAGGCCATACTGGCCTTCCCGTCGCCAGTTCCCTGCTTACCGGGCGTCCCGAGGGATTCGGCCTGCCACCGCGGCCTTTCGCACTCCAAACCGCCCCTCTGCGCCACCCCGTCCTTGGTAAGATCGTACGTGAACCTAGCCTCCTCCCGCGGCCAGGCTCGGACAGAAGTGCCGAGGCGTGACATAGGCCTCTGGTCGGTACCCTGCGGTCGAGCTTGCCCCCCCCCTCTACCTTGACTCCTACACGTCATCCCTGCGAGGGGCCATGCTGAATTTCCCCGTAATCCAACGGCAGGTGCCCCACGGTGCCGCCAGCGCCTGATGGGCCCAAGCAAAACCAGCTGGCCCGAGCTCCGGCCTGAATTTCAACAGTTCATGGGTGTGTCGGTGAGCTTGGCCCATAGGCCCTAGAAGTAACCCCGGCCCCGCGTCTCAAGGCAAAACGGGGCGCGGCTTCGGCGTAACTACGAAAACAGTTTGTAATTGCACTTCAGGCAACCTTGCAAATACCACACACCCCCACGCGCTCCCCCCGCAGTCTTGCATCCCAGAACGGAACGCGATAACAAGGGAACCCAGAACAATAAACAAACGGGAAGTAAAATAAAACAAAAGTGACCGTCGGGAAACCGCGGGGCCGCTGGCACCTCGCCAACCCCGCGGATTGGGCCCGCCGCCGCGCCTGTAAGCAAAACCGAGGGGGATAGCCCAGCAGGGCCCTCAACCCCTCAGGTCTCGCTCCTCGCCGCTCAGATGCTGTTGTGCCGCGGCCCGCTGGCCTCGATCCCCGAACCTTCGTATCGTCAACCCAATGCCGTAACCTATAGGGCTAAGCCCAAGCCTAAGACCAGCGCCTGCAGAGTACCATACAAGGGAGTGCCGCGCGGCACTTTGGGCCAACGAACCGGCTGCGCGGCCCCCAATGCCCGCGCCGGCTTGCTTATACCATGCCATAATTGCCCCGCGCGCCATCCTACGTCGGCCTACGACACCCCGCCCACCGCACGAAGTCGTGCCGTCGTGGCCGATGCCGTCGTCGGGGTCGTCCTCCGCGCGCGCGCACAGGTCACAGACAAGCACCCCAATTAGTAAGACATAATCTTTTTAATCCCTATTTAATCAGAAGGAAAAAATCTTCCGGCCTGCGACCACGCCGACTCTTCAACCATCAATAATTAAAAAGATCACGCGCGCCTCAAAAATTTGTGCGTCCACACACTCTCTATTCTAGTCAACCTTCCAGTCAACGTAGATCACAGTCGCAGCCTCGCCTAGCGCGGTATACTTAAACTTTAAACCAAACTATTTTCTGTCACTTGCAAAAACCAGGGTGGATACCCTTGTAAGGGTATTCGCGTCGACAGCGGGCCTCCGGTGAACTCCTTCATGTCCTCTCGAATTGTGTCTCCTGGCATCAGTTTATCATCCTTGTCGGGCGGGAGCGCGAATTTGATGGCGTTGACGTCCATTCTGCCAACCTGTGCATTTTCCTCCCGGGGCACGTTATATTGGTTCTCTCTTAGGATCTTTGACAGACCCATGCTCACATACACGTTGTCCAGCTGAGTCAATATCCCGGGGTATCTGGCACTGCTTTCCTTGCCTTTGGATTGGAGATGTGACTCTTTTCCACTTAACGAGGCCGGTCCTGGCCGCAACCCTTCATTGCTGTTGTTCTTGCTTGCATTGCCTGCACCAACTGGCCCCCAGATCTCATTCCTTGCACTCTCTTGCATTCCTTGTTCACACGACCTCTGCTCCCCACCACGAATGCTCTGCTGGCTTGCCACAACATCTGTTTCTATCCCCTCCATTGCCTGACGACCCTCGCCACCGTCCAACGCCTGTTGAACATCTTCTTGAGCACCCGGTACAGGCAGATCCATATTGTCATCTGATGTCTTCTCCTCGTTGTCGAGCACATCGAAGTGCTCACCCGTATCCAGCTCATCGGCGTATGTCTTCGCACGCAGTCTGTCCTCTTGTTTGTTGAACCACAAATGCTCACACCGCACTATGAATATTTCAATCGCACCATTTTTCGCGTCATGGTAGCCTTGGAGATGTTGGATGACAATCACTTTTCGGTGCATATAACCGATGTCCTTTGGAGTCTTCGGGGCGTTGCCGAACAAGTATTTCCACAGAGAGTCTCTCTTCTTGCCAAGGTTGAGGTACATGTCTCTCTCTGGAAGCCACAGAGTTTTGGGCTGTTCGAAGTGGCAACGACTTTCTGGTCTGTGGACCTGTATATCGAGGAATGTGGACGTCCAATCGAGCATTGTTGAATTGCTGTCACACGCAACAACATTGTGTCCTGGCCGCAACACTTCCCAGACTGACCCTGTCTGCACATTCACGAGCAGCAGCACACCTTCGCCATCCTTTGCGAACCATTTGCACAACTCCTTCACTTTTTTTGACTCTCTCTCCCAGTGCCCGTACACGACTTTTGTATCGCCTGATATCCCAACATGCTTGTTCGTGCGTTGCACAAATAAATCCTCCTTCATGTTATCGTCGAACCATGTGATATGGTTTCGTGGCCGCACAGTCACCTTCTTGTAGTCATCGTTCAACGCATGCACGACAATGGTCATGCAGTCCCGAGGTCGCAGTGGAAGATTTCCAGCGGAAACGACATATTGGTCCTTTCCAAAATATCTCTCCCACCGACCTAGAATCACTTTGACGTGATCACAACGAAGCACATTCTTCAATAAGGTTTGCTCGACTCTTAACGTCGAGAATATGACAATGACCCAATCCATGCCACAAAAGGTATTCATCATCTCCGGTAGCACTGCGAATCTCTCATCTGACCACTCGTGCGGGGTTGTCGACTTGCGCGGGCACAGGTCCAGGACTGCGAGGTGGCAATTGAGCTTCTTAACTGCTCGTGTGATCTCCTCTGATGGTTGCAGCGCCTCGTACGGTGCCAAGCATATCAGAAGAAACGTAGTATGATCATTGTTTGTATTCCATATCACGTGCCACACATTTGCACTTATGCGCCGCAACTCGTCCCGCAGGTGGTCGATAGCCCCGATGATTTCATGCATGAACACTCTCAGATAATACGGACACTCCACATATAGTGTCCGCGTCAACTTGAACCCTCCCACCTTGCCCACCTTTGGTTCGTCAATGCCCCCGAGACGTTTTGGCACATCTTTCGCCTTGTGAGCTGGCACCTTCGTCTTGTTTTCCTCTCATTGTTCCTTGGTGAGTCCGGTTGGGGCAAATCTGTCCATTATATGCGAGTAGCCAATGAAGAACTCATCGTTCCAGTCGTCCTCCTTGAGACCTTCCGTTTTGAAAATCACATAGTTGAAGAGGCGTATCATGTATCTCTCACGCCGAACTTCAACCCGAATATCGTCCATGTTCAACAAGTTCTTATTGAATGTCCGCCCCGTTGTGACAACCACCTGGCGGTCCAATATTATGTCTAACACCATTTCCTTCTCCCTTGCAGTCAAGTCTCCGAACACCTTCCACGCGCTTTGCGAAGGGTCTCGAATGCAAATGTAGTGCCCGTCAGGCGATATGTTGGACTGGACGTAGTGCACTAGCTCCTTCTTGCCTTTTATTGTCAATGCGCATGGACCCAGACCAGCTATGGCGACTTAATTCCCTTGCTGATCCACCGGAGCCATGCTAGTCTTATCAGGCAAGAGTCCCGCCTCCCACGAGTCAAAGAATCGGGTTAGAAGGTCCCACACTCGTTTACCAACTGTTGTCAACGTAAGATGCGATCTCACTAAATTTGACCAATTCGTATTGTAGGCCGGCTTCAGTGTTTGCCCTCGCAGTTCGGAGTCAGCAGTTAGTCGGAAAGCTTTGCGGATGAATTTCTGATAGTTATCTCTTAAGGCCTCCTTATCCGCTTCCGGCGGTGCGTGTTGCCAATCGCCAGAAGGCATCCCCATTTCAACCCACAAGTCTATGATATTTTTCACCGACACACGGAAGGAATCTGGGATAGGTCGTGTCTCCCTTGTGTTATCGAAAGTCGAAATGTGAGTATATCCGTCGAGATGGTTATCATCGAAATACACAACCCGTGCACGCCATGAACACACACCCCACTTTTGTGCAGCCGGTGAATTGGCCGCAACCAGTCTCCGACAAGCCTCCGCCGTGTGTTGTCCACCCACCGCGTACCAATGGTACGTGTGTGTGTCATCCGCGTCAAAATGTCCAGGTTTCACACACACACACTGCTTTTGACCATGACATGCACTTCCGTGACTGGGGCCAATATCCATGTGGCCCTGTCCCACTCTCCTTTCTTATCTGACAGTTCCATTGCTCTCATGATGGAAACGGTGAGCATGTCATTCAGCGGTCTGTGATTGTACTGCACAGGGCTTCCCACAGGGGTTGGCAAAATCTTCATGCAGTCCACGTAGATCTATTGAGGTCGTTGCACTGCATTGCCGTCACTGTCATACTCCAGGAAGAAACAAGTTGTTGTGTCGAAGGCGGGCGACTCCAGCTTCCCGGCTCTCGCGATGTGGTCTCTCGAGTCAACCCCAACTCCCTCGTCGCCGGAGTCAGCAACCTCTTTCGTTTCTTCGACTCTGACTTTCTTCTTTGCATTTTTCGCGGGCTGCTCATGCCTCTCTTTCTCGGGTTTTTCCGATTCTCTTTCTAAATGTTGCACGTATGCGGTATGAGACGCGCCCAAACCAAGTATCTCCGCCCGACGTCGCTCACTCTTCATTTTTCATTTGCGCGAGTTTGCCGATGGTTGTGTGCCGGCGACTTCGACGTCCCGGTTTGTTTCCCCACCGCTTTCATCCTCTTCGCTCTCCTTGTCTCTGCCTTTGTTCTTGTGGAGTTGTTTCTTCTACATCTCCCCGGTTCTCTTCCTCCTCGCCGTTCTCCCCTTCATCCTCACCCCCCTGGTCCTCGCTTGCACTGTCGTCCCCATCGTCCTCGCCGCTCTCCCGCTCATGATCGTCGTCCTCCCTGGCGTCGATATGCGTACTTCCTTCCTCGGCGCTCTCTTCACTCGACTTCCCCTCACCTTCGTCATCCCCGTCATCCCCATCGGGACAATGGCTGGAGGACGGCACCCCACGGGTGTCACATWCAGCATTCTCTTCGTCCTTGTCACGAGATGAAGCCTTTTTCCGACGCTGCATCCCACGAGAAGAGACTGATGACGCCTTGGCGGTCTTCGGCGTTTTCTCCTTCGTGCTCCCGGGTTTGGAAAACCCATCCTTAGCAGAAGGCGTTTCGGTCGTCGTGACGAATGCCTTTTCGGTTGGTGCGGTGTTCTTCGACCTTGTCGAATGCGTTCCACCTTTCGCTCCAACGCCGAGAGCGGATCGCAGCGTACCTTGCTTAGACTCCCCATGTTTGTGTGTCCTCAAAATGTCCTCCAACACCTCCCTCGAAGTGTGCGCGGGCACGAACGGTATCGACAACCGCACGTTGTTGCCCACCTTGACCTTAAGCCCCGTGAGTCTATAGCATGGCGTTTTCCTGAGGAACTCGATCGGTCCCACCATCTCGAGACCCTTCAGTTTCTTCGACCTATCAAACGGGGGCAATGCCACAACGTTCATGCCGTAGCCAGCAAATCTCAACAAATGCAGCGACACTTTCTTGTAATTCCCCAGCAGTTGGACTCCTCCACTGTCGAAGCATGTGGTCAAGTAGAAATCGTAGTACCCCTCCTCACCGGCAAATTTGTCGACGCCGTAACTGTCGATCCCGCCGCACACGTAAAAATGTCCACCATCATCCTTAAGGAATATCACGGGACCGCACCCTTGTTGCTTAACCCCGCCGAACCAGTCAATTGCCCATTCCATCCTACGAAACAATGTCGCTCTCCCAACCACCTTGGGGGTGGACGTCTGCGATGAAGAAGGAACCCCATCTACATGCCCACGGGAAAAAATATGTGATTAGCACAAGCGAGGCAAAGGCAAGCGATGCCCGAGGCTATTGGTCATTCGACCATCGGGTGTCAACGCGACGGCCGACGATCGACTGCCCGCCCAAGAGATGTCGCGGTGACGCCCGATGTTCGGGCTGCCCCAGCATCCGATGTCGAGGCGACGCCCGACATTTACCCGTCTGACGACCCCCACCTCCCCGAAGAGGAGGAGGCAGGTCGGGAGCGGCTGGTACATCCCTGTCCATTGTCCTGTCGATATGGCGTGGCCATGCGAGAGGAACACGGATCCACCGCGCGGTTAGCAGCCAATGAGAAGAGATAGACAGAAGTTTCAACAAAAATATCAGGGGCGGGTCAGAAGAGACCGTTCTCTCCACCATGCCATTCTCTATGACCACTTCACCGGGGACAAAAGTGTCGGGCCGGAGGAGATATCGTGACTCTCCCATCCCATCTACGATCTCTGAAAAGAAGACGGGGAGGTGGGCTAGGAGAGAGCGGCACTCCCCCATCCCATGTACGGCCGCCATCACCTCGCCGGGAAAGGAACCATTGGACCACGCGGAACCGAAAGGTGGACTGCATTTCCAACACTTCGTTGCGGCCAACGTTCGGGCCACCGACCACCGGTTGTCGAGGCGTCGCCCGACAGGCGGGCCGCCCCTACCATCAGCCGTCGTGGCGACACCCGATGTTAGGCTCGACACCTGGTGGCCATCGTGGCGACGCCCGATGTTAGCCCCGACCGACAGACCATCGGATGGAGCGGCTCCGGCCGGTGGTGTGGACGGCCCGACCATCGGGTCTCTCCACGACGGCCCACGGTCTGGGCGGCGCGACTGTCGGCTGGCCGGGGGAGATCGCTTGTCCCCCGTCGGATCTACCATCACCAAGCTGTCGGGGCGATAAGGAAAAACCCTCCCGCGACAGAAGCCAATTTTTTGCAAGGAACATGAACGTGAACGAAGTGCAGGAATCCAAATTGCAAGTCACGCTGAAGTCCAAGCAGTCAAGCAAAGACCAGATAGCACAATGAAACCGAAAAACCATCCATATGAGAACGGCACAGCAAAATCCATAAGTGTCAAGCAAAGAGCAGATAACACATTGGAACCAAGAAACCATCCCATATGTGGACGACTTGCAAAAATTCAAATTGCAAATCACGCTGAAGTCCAAGCAGGCAAGCAAAGAGCAGATAGCACATTGGAACCAAGAAACCATCCACATTGGCCCCGACCCTCGTGCGGCTAGGCGACGCCCGACCAACGGGTGTCGCATCGCCGCTCGATGGTCCGGTCGACGGTGTGGACGGGGAGACCGTCGGTGGTCGCCACGGCGCCCGATGGTGTCGACGGGCCGACCATCGGCTGTCGCCGCGGTGCCCAATGGTGTCAAACAAGAAACCATCCATATGCGAACGATATCACATTGGAACCAAGTAATCCAGCAAAGAGCAGATAGCACATTGGTTCTAATTGCAAATCACGCTGAAGTCCGAGTAGTAAAGCAAAGAGCAGACAAGACATTGGAACCAAGAAACCATCCATATGCGAACGAAGTGCAGAAATCCAAATTGCAAGCCTCGCAGAAGTCCAAGCGGTCAAGCAAAGGGCAGATGGCACATTGGAACCAAGAAACCATCAACATTGGCCCCGACCCTCGTGTGGCGAGGCGACGGCCGACCAACGGGTGTCGCGTCGACGGTCGGTGGTCCGGTCGACGGTGTGGACGGCGCGACCATCGACTGTCGCCGCAGCGCTCGATCGTGTCAAGCAAGAAACCATCCGTATGAGAATGATAGCACATTGGAACCAAGTAGTCAAGCAAACAGAAGATAGCACATTGGTTCCGATTGCAAATCACGCTGAAGTCCAAGTACTGAAGCAAAGAGTAGATAGCATATTGGAGCCAAGAAACCATGCATGTGTGACCGAAGTGCAGAAATCCAAATTGCAAATCACGCTGAAGTCCAAATAGTCAAACAAAGAGCGGATAGCACATTGGAACCAAGAAACCATCCACATCGGGCCCGACCCTCGTGTGGCGAGGCGACGGCCGACCATTGTGTGTCGCGTCGGCCGGCCGACGGTGTGGACGGGGCAACCATCGGTTATCGCGGCGGCGCCCGATGGTGTGGACTGGGCGACCATCGGTTGTCGCCGCGGCGCTCGATGGTTTGGACGGGGCAACCATCGGCTGTCGCCGCGGCGCCCGATGGTGCCAAGCAAGAAACCATCCATGTGAGAATGACAACGCATTGAAACCAAGTAGTCGAGCAAAGAGCAGATAGCATATTGGTTCCAATTGCAAATCGCGCTGAAGTCCAAGCGGTCAAGCAAAGAGCAGATAGCACATTGGAACCAAGAAACCATGCATGTGTGACCGAAGTGCAAAAATCCAAATTACAAATCACGCTGAAGTCCAAGTAGTCAAGCAAGGAGCAGATAGCACATTGGAACCAAGAAATTATCCACATCGGGCCTGACCCTCGTGCGGTGAGCTATGAATCCCCCACAGTCATGACGGCTGGGTCAATCTCAGCCCGCGGTCTGGATCCCGACCGCCGAGGTCGGCTGCGGGCAGGGGCCGTGGTCCCGATTTTGGAACAATTTCTTTCCTATTAAAAATATACCAAAAAACAATTAAAAAAATATGGGGTTGTAGGGTTTGAAAATACCTACAAACGTATATTTTTTGTTTTCGATTATGAAGTGTTTTTTCATTTTTAAAAACTAAAAAACCAAAAAACAAGCATTCAAATCAAAAGAAATATAACTAAAAAAAAGACAAATTTTTATTTTTCATGTGTGTGTGTGTGTGTGCTAGGGGGAAGGACGACCCCTTCCCCACCAATCAATCAATCAATCAATCAAAGAAAAAAAGAAAAGTAATAAAAATGAAACAGCGGGTTCGCCCCGCGCGCGTTTATGTGTGTGTGTATGTGTGTGTGTGTGTGTGTG